TTGGGTCTCCGCTCGCGCGGATTCCCTCCTCCACCGCGGGCGGGTGAGACGCCCTCGGGAGCGACCCGAGGATGCGTCCGCCATTCGCGGGAGCCAAACCGGAAGCCTGGCTGTTGGGATTCTTAACATTTTCAGTTCAGCTGTAAGGATGTAGGAATTTTAGCTCTTTGTTATTTTACATCCCGTGTACCTTTTCCCCATGCTAGGTTATAGTAAACTTTTATCTTTTAAACACACCATGGACTCTGCTGATTTACTTTAAAATTAAGAATCCCAACACTGGCCGGAGGTCTCTCGGTGGTCTTCCATAGTGAAGTGGGGGTTCAAACCTGGGTCTCCAGCATCCATGGTGGACTCTCTAACTACTGAGCAACACGGCACTAAACAATTCTCAAGATGGTAATGGAGCTGAAGACCCACCAATCATGGCATCGCATGCTGGGAACTGGCATGGCAAAGAGTTGGTAGCACTGCCTCAGTACCAATCACGGAGCTCACCAATCATGGATCCACAACCTTGCCGCATCCCTTAGCAGCCTTCCTGAAAAAGCACCAATCCTCAGTTTGGCGTAGTGGTCAAGAGTGGCAGACTCTAATCTGGAGAACTGAGTGTGATTCCCCACTCCTCTGTATGCAGCCAGCTGGGTGACCTTGGGCCAGCCACAGTTCTCCCCGAGCAGTTCGCTTGAGAGCAGTTCTCTCAAGAGCTGTTCTCTCAGAGCTCTCTCAGGCCCAACTACCTCGCAGGGTGTCTGTTGTGGGGAGGGGAAGGGAAAGGAGATTGTAAGATGTTCTGAGACTCCAAGTGAAGGGTGGGGTATAAATCCAATGCTGCTGCTGCTTCTTCTTCTTCTTCCAGCAAGCCTACCTCTTTATTGCTGGTAATTGCCAACCCATTCTTATCAGCCAGTGCCTCTCATTCATTCTTTAACCATTTTTTCCCCTTCTGCCTCCCCTCCAAGTAACAAAGTTCATCCTCTCCCCTATTCTCTATATGAGGATTTCCCTGGTTGCCTAGGAAAAAGCCATTGGATAAGCAAAATAATAATGGAAGCAAATGTGACATAAAAAAATGACAATATTCAGAACCCAAAAAAGAGAACTTTCAGTTTCACCAGGCTGCTTTTATAAAAGTCACCATTCTCTAACTAAAGAACTTCAAAGGAAGACTCCAGTGTGAAATTGCTGGATTGGAATTCATTAGTTTGACATTCTCTACCAAGGATTTAACAAGGATCTGACAGTTCCTTGGTCATTCCAGGCATAAACCAGCTTATCAAAACAAGGAGAATTACATTCTTACCAGTCATTAGTATTGACTGACAAGGACCCACTCTGTGCATTTGACAAAAGCTTCCTCTAGGACAAAATCTTATTCATCTTTAAGTTGTCAAAAGACTCCTGGGTTGTTGGGTTTTTTTTTTTCCGGATGCGGGAGGGAGGGGCTGTTGCTGCAAAAGATTAACATAGCTACCCTACCTAAAATCTAAATGTCGTTTGGAAGTAAACGATGAGAGGGCAAGCACGAACAGACAGGCAAGGATCTGTGAATGCATGCAGATGTAATGGTGTTCCTGTAGTTCTTCATACCAGTCCAGTGCGAAGCTCAGAGTCCGCCTACTTGCTCCCTCGTGCAAATCGCTGCAAGGGTGCGGGACCACCTCTCCTCGGAGTTCTCCAAAACCTGGCACGGTGCTTATCATTCCAGTAATAATTGGTGTAGAGGATGTGTTGTTATTGATTAAAGCCGTAGATCAAGGCAAGACTTCAAGTAGCAGTATGGATTTTTTTTTTAAACCCGTGAGTCATGTCTGCTAACAGCAACAAAGCAAGCTGGCTGGGCACCCGAAGACAAATGGTGACATTTCATTGCACGAGTGACCGATTGCTTAAAAGATTACCTTCCTACTTGCCGGGCTCCTTCCTCTACCGTCCTTTCCCAATTAATTCAGATACCGTCTTTAGTTTGGCGTTTTTGTTTTTTTTGTTTTTAGTTAATTAGAGTTAATGGAACGTTAAAAGATTGTTCCGGTATAAATGCAGGGGAAAGGCGTTGGGACGGCGGCAGAGCAGCTACTTTGCATGCAGAAGGTCTCAGGTTCAATCCTGGGCATCTCCAGCTAAAAGAATCATGTCGTGGGTGACGTGAAAGGCCGAGACTCTGAACGGTGGCTGCTAGTCAGTGTTGACGGTACCGACGTTGATACACCAATGGGAAGCTTCAATGAGGAGTCCCGTCTCAGGGGCAGTTGTATAATCTAATCTAGCAAAAAATGACACAAAACGGTGTGCGAGCTCTTGAGTTGTGCAGCACACTTTGATTCGTTTGTTGCGTCGCCTCACTGGGGACCGAAAGCAAATGGGAAAGCAAACGGGAAAGGGGGCTAGGCTTCTGGATGCCAGGCATCTGTCTCTTCTAGCCCACCCAGCTCCAGGTTACGACCCTCAGACTAATGGCCAGTGGACAAGAGCCCTTAGGTTCACACCCGTGGGCACTCCCCCGGAGCGGGGAACAGCGAGATGTCCTTCGGTGGCTGCTGGCCAGCAAGCAGGATCTTCCTCACGTCTTTCCCTGCCAAAGACTGGATGCCAAAAAGAGAGACATTTGAGGCCCTGACCTAAAGACCTCTTGTCTGCATCCTGCGTAGGGTGCTCTGCAAACCTGAACAGACGCTCAGCCGAGCTGATCTCAGCACACACCCATGGCTGCCTGAGAAGAAGAAGGCGAGACCAGGGCAGCTGCCAGTTGCAATTAAAAAAAAAAAAGGTTAAAAATCTCTCTAAACACACAACAGAACACACAGGCCCCTTAAAAGGGTGAGAGCGGAGGGGGAATGCGATAGTTGTCATAGCAACAAAACTGGAGAGTATGGGCTATGTCCTGTGACTCCCTTCCACCGAGGCTTCCTTCAACAAGGACAGGCTTTCCTCCCTCAGAGGACGCCTTTCTCCATGGGGCAAAGGGAGAGTCCAAGTCCTTCTCCCTTGAAGGGAGACGTAGCAGAAGAGAGTCATGGGATCCAACTTAGTAGGAGGGAATCCCAGGATTTGCCCCTCTGTTTCAGTGACTTAGGTCTGTGGTGGCTCAAGTGGTTAAGATGCTGAACTGCAGACCAGAAAGGTTGATAGTTCAGCAGTTCGAGACCCGAGTGCCGCACGACGGAGTGAGCTCCCGTCTCTGGCCCCAGCTCCTGCCAACCTAGCAGTTCGAAAGCAAGAAATTGCAAGTAGATAAATAGGTACCGCTTCGGTGGGAAGGTAACAGCATTCCGTGTGCCTCAGCGTCTAGTCATGCCGGCCACATGACCACGGAAACGTCTTCGGACAGCGCTGGCTCTTCGGCTTGGAAACGGAGATGAGCACCGCATCCCTAGAGTCGGATTCGTCTGGCTTTTGAGCAAGGGAAACCTTTACCTTTACTTCAGTGACACACCAAGCATAGAGTCAATGGAAACAAGTACCGTGGGACTCTGATTAGGAAACGGGGGGGGGGTCCAGATGTCAGCTGCATAGTTTCTGTGATGTCAGAGCTGATGGTCTGAGGAGGGAATTACCGGCAGTTTGAGGCTCATGACAGCAGAAGGTCAGTTAAGTGTCCTAATTGATATAAATCCCCCCATACGTTCTCTCTGTATGAGCAAATTCTCTCTGAAGGTAGGCATCAGGTTATTCTTTTGTACTATCACTTTAATGCACCTGAGCATCTGTCCAAGAGCCCACTGCAGACTTTTGACAGGCATTCCCCGAGCGACCCCAGTCAAGCTGGCTGATGGGAGATGGGGGTGAAGAAGGCCCAGCAGGCCTGAAAACAAATTGTTGCCATATCGGGTTGACAAGCAGGAGTCCCCATACCTCAGAAATGATGGTTTATGTGTGTGGGGTGAAGGGTGATTTTACTGAACAGTTCAATCTTTTGCTCAAATGTGTATGGGTTGTTGTTTTTTCAAGCTATCCCATATCCCCATGCTGGATCTTTTCATCATTCTGACAAATTGAGGGTTTGCTGGGCTTTGGACTCGTGGACTCCCCGTGTGAAAGGGGTCGAAGTAAATGCAACGTCTCCTTTCTTTGCAGGAGAAGAGTCCCTGACTATTTTCGTGGACAAGCGGAAGCTCAGTCGGAAAGCGGAAGTTGGCAGCCCGGGAGGAAGCGGAGGGACCAACGCCACCGTCTCCTTGGAAACGCTGCACCAACTGGCCGCCTCGTACTTCATTGACCGCGAGAGCACGCTACGGCGGCTCCACCATATTCAGATAGCGACAGCAGCCATCAAGGTAACCCCCGTAGGCAAGTGACAGGACTGTTTTCCGCCCCACCCACTGTCAAGTTGGGAGGGGGATTTGTGCAAGTGAGAGGACTTGCCCCACTCACACACCCCCTTCCACTGCTGTATGGGGTGGTTGCCACCCCTAAAGCTCTGCCCCGTTTATTTACAGTCCCACATCCTAACCCAGCCAGGATTCTGTAGCCTTTGCCTGGAAAAAGTGGCCAGGCACGAAGGAGGAAATCTTTGAACACAGGCCGAACTCTTAAAAGAAACAAGATCTTCATTAACTACAACCCAAACTTTAGATGGTGGAGCGCAAGTACATGGGAGGAGTGTCTCACAGCCTTGCAGAACAATAAAACAGATGAGGCTCATCTAAGCTTTACAGTCACTGATGTTACCTTGGTGGACACAGACCTGCTGGGGCCTCCAAAAGACTCCACTCTGTTCCCACCCTTATTCCTAGTCCTGGCTTAAGCACTCTGACACAGCGTATAGATTCTATAACCCTTCCTGTCCCAGCTGGGCAGGTTTCCCTTCACCCTATCTTGAATTTGGGAATGAAACACCAGAAGGGTTACTCTGCATCCCCTTCTCATATCAGTTTCGGGTGAACATCTCAAGCCTTTATAGCCCAACTCAGGTTGTTCAAATAGTCGTCCATCTTGCCCCTTTCTGGCAGTTGGGGAAACTCATTACCTGTCAGCCCCAGTTTACGGCCCCAGGTCCCCTCCCCAGAGAAAGATCCCTTTCCTCTGATAGTGGCCCCCCTGGGTGTAACACAAAGCGTGTTGCATCTTTCTGTCACAGCACCCGCAACCTCCTATTGATCTCTGAGAGTGGTTTTGTGTTGGGTGTTACAAGTCAAAACACTTCAGTATTTACAGGGTTAATGATGTTTGTTATGATCAACAGGAAGTCACATGTTTGTTTGTAACCAGTCTGTGTAGACAATGGAATGCACGGGAACTTTGGAGCTAACTTGCTAGTCTGATTGGAAACCAAGGTGTCAAGCATTTAGCATATTGGCATCTTCTTCCTCTCTTTGTTCTGACTGTGAAGAAGACGCCGGCCATTCCCGTTTTACCTGTAGCTGTAAGGATGTAGCCATATTAGCTCTTTGTTATTTTCATATCCTGTGTACCTTTTCCCCATGTTAGGTTTATAGTAAACTTTTATATTTTAATACACACCATGGACTCAGTCTCTTAATACTCTGCTGACGTACTCAAAAAGAATCCCAACATTTTGGAAGTGTGGACTTGCGGTAGCGTATCCACACGGAAAACCTGGAGCCCTGCCTGCCTTTCTTTTGGGTTTCTGATATTTTCCTAAAAGTGCTCTGGGGCAAAGAATCTGAAGTTCTAAGGATAGTGGTGGATCCTAGAGCATCTCTGGGCTGCAGCATGAGTGATCAGCAGATCCAGTATTGGTTCCCTGTTCTCTGGTGTAATATAATAGTTATTTTTTGGAATAGGGACGACATATCATACTGAAGTCCCCAATCTCCCCCCCCCACCCAAAGATTCTGTGTAATGGTGATAGAAAATGCCATCAAGTCACAGCCGACTTAAAGCGACTCCGTAGGGCTTTCAGCCCAAGGGGCAAACAGAGGGGGTTTTGCCATCGTCTGCCTCTGCGTCGCAGCCCTAGACTTCCTTGGCGGTCTCCCATCCAAGTACTAACCAGGGCCCACCCAGCTTAGCTACTGAGATCGGACGAGATCAGGCTAGCCCGGGGCATCTAGGTAATACATTTAGAAAGGCACAGACTTTGTCTGCCTCTGTGACACCAGTCATCTACCTGCGGTGTGAAATCAGAAATAAACAGTGCCCTTCATTGGAGCAGGAAGTTCAGAACATAGAAGAAGAGAAGAAGTGGTGTTCTTTTTTTTGGTTCTTACATTGTACACTGGCTCCCCCCCCTTTTTTTGGCATCAAGTCACAGCCGACTTAAAGCGACTCCGTAGGGTTTTCAGCCCAAGGGGCAAACAGAGGGGGGTTTGCCATCGCCTGCCTCTGCGTCGCAGCCCTGGACTTCCTTGGCGGTCTCCCATCCAAGTACTAACCGGGGCCCACCCAGCTTAGCTACTGAGATCTGACAACATCAGGCTAGCCCGGGGCATCTAGGTAATACATTTAGAAAGGCACTGACTTTGTCTGCCTCTGTGACACCAGTCATATACCTGCGGTGTGAAATCAGAAATAAATAGTGCATTGGAGCAGGAAGTTCAGAACACAGAAGAAGAGAAGAGGAGACTGGATTTATACCCCGCCCTTCACTACCCAAAGAAGTCTCAGAGCGGCTTACAAACTCCTTTCCCTTCCCCTCCCCACAACAGACACCCTGTGAGGAAGGTGGGGCTGAGAGAGCTCTTGACAGAAACTGCTCTTCTTCAAGGACAGCTCTTGTCAGAACTATGGCTTGCCCAAGGTCATCCAGCCAGGTGCGAGTGGAGGAGTGGGGAATCAAACCCGGTTCTCCCAGATTAGAGTCCGCACATAGGAGGCATCACCATTGTGTCTGCAGGGAGCACCCATTCAGACACTGCTGCCTCCCTAAGCAAAAGAATGCTTGGCTTGGAACGTCCCAACGTTTTGTGATGGGCCCCGCCCACCTCCTTGGCAGCCATTTTGGGTGGCACCCAGTGCCTGTTCTCAGAATTCCAAAAAAGGCCCATAAGCTCACAAGGTTGGGCACTTCCCGTCTGCTCGGACTGGCCGTGGTTCTCCATGGTCTCCACCCAGGGGTCATTCCTGGCCAGGGATTCTTTTCGTCAGAGGAAAGTGGCAGGGATAGGAACTAGGCCCTGGATGCAAAGCAGGTGCCCAGCCCCTGAGTGATGACCCTACCCTTTGGGCTCCCTTCCTCCGGAGGCCAGAATACTCGTCAGATTTGGAACCAGAAGAGAGATTTTGTTTCCCCAAGTCTCCTTGCTTTCGTGCAGCACACACTGGTTTTATCCCCCCCCCTTCTCTCTCTCCATATGCCTGGATTTTAATTTGCAGCTTGCTTAAGCGAGGCTGCCGTCCCGGAGGACTGCTACCCAAGCTCTGCAATTATAAACCCATCTCTGGAGTCAGCTTCCTTCCCCACCTGCACTGCTCCCCCCCTCCCCGAAGGAAACAGGAGGGGGCCATCACGCTGGGAGTTCAGACCAGGAGTGGAGCCTTTGTGCTATTTACGGGAAATTGGCTGTGCTAATGATGCGGCCCTTTTTATCAAGGGCTGGCGGCAGGGCTGTTCTCTGTCAACAGTCCAATTACCACACAATTATTCCCCACCACCCTTTTTTAGAACTAATGTGGTCTCTTGCATTATCTCGGGCTTGGAGTGCTTGGCTGTTCCACACCCTCCGGTCCTGCCATTCCGACACCATCTTTTATTCCATGGCATTTCATTCCACCTTGTGAGATCTCAGTGCATGTCTGCCTCCCCCCCCCCCCTTCCCATTTTTAGGTTGGAAAGGATACCTTTGAATGGAAGCCAGGTAGAAGTGCAGTTTGGCGCTTGGAGGGTAGAAAATCTAAATAGCACCCTCCTTCCTGCTACTGTGTAGTGGTTAAGAGTGGCAGACTCTAATCTGAAGGAGGAGGAGGAGATGAAGAAGAGGAAGAGTTGGATTTATACCCCGCCCTTCTCTCAGAGTGGCTTACAATCTTCTTCCCTTCCCCTCCTTTGCGTGTCATTCTTGTTAATCTTCTCCCCACAACAGGGGCTTTGTGAAGTAGGTGGGCCTGAGAGAGCTCTGAGAGAACTGTGACTGGCCCAAGGTCACCCAGCAGCTGCATGTGGAGGAGTGGGGGATCAAACCCAGTTCTCCAGAGTAGAGTCCGCCGCTCTTAACCACTACACCAAATTGGAGGAGGAGCAGAAGAAGAGGAGGAGGAGTTGGTTTTTACACCCTACTTTTCTTTACCCTAAGGAGTCTCAAAGTGGCTTACAATGTCCTTCCCTTCCTCTCCCCACAACAGTCACCTTGTGAGGTAGGTGGGGCTGAGAGAGCTCTGAGAGAACTGTGACTGGCCCAAGGTCACCCAGCAGCTGCATGTGGAGGAGTGGGGAATCAAACCAGGTTCTCTAGTTTAGAATCTGCCTCTCTTAACCACAATACCACAGTGGCTCTGGAGAACAGGGTTTGAGTCACCCACTCCTCCTCATGGATCCTGCTGGGTAACCTTGGGCCAGTCACAGTTCTCTCAGGTAGACGCCTTCAGGTAGAGCGGTGCATAAAAACCTCCTCCTCCTCCTCCTCCTCCTTTTGGAATGGCTTCCACTCACATTGATGAGGCTTGGAGAGGAGAGCTCCACTTCACGGTGGATTGGGCCCTACGGCTGAGATCGTTCTGTCAACAGTCCAACACTCTGTCCCCCTTGCTGGCTTGGTTGAGTGGACTTAAAAGGGCATAACTCTGCTGAGGATACTTAATCAGTTATAGTGTATTGTGTTTATGTATTATGCAGAAATATTTATTTGTACTGTGTATGCTACTTGAATACGATGAGTTTGATCTTTCGGTAGCCATTTAATGCATTTATACAATAAAAAAATATAAATATTTTTTTAAAAAAACCTCTGCTGAGGATCACACTGTCAGATTTTCTGCTGTACCTTGATTCATGTTAGGTCCACCTCTGTGTGTAAAATGTTTGGTGTGAATCCATATGAAAATATAAATCGATATATTCAGAAAATCTCTACATGTATTTTAAGCCTCGCACACTCCAAGCCAGCGTAAATAGACAAGGGTTTCACAACACAGCTGGATACATTTCTGAAGAGTGTGTGTGTGTGTGTGTGTATTCCCTTTCCATGGAATCTAACATTTACATTCATAGACCCAGAAGTTCTCATGTGTTCTCTGTCTCTCTCTCTCTCTCTCACACACACACCCCTTATTGGGGAAGGGATGGTGTAGGAGGGGAAGGACCCACGAGGGGGGGGGGCTCAGAAGTTGTGATGACTCGTAAGCAGAATCCTGTTGCTGCTTGAAGCTCAAGGAGAGTTTCTCTTGGAGGAGCTGAAGAGACCTTTATTTTTGTTGCATAAAGCTTTGCTCCCCCTTCCTTTTACACCCCCCCCAAGTTTCCACTTAGAATACAGTATGCCACCTGTTCAGTTTTGCATGCAGGTGTGTTATTTGCATATTCCAATTGCTGCCACTTTTCAGGAGTGATTGTGGCAAAAAGAAAAGAAAAGAAATGAGGTGGAAGGAAGGAAAGGAAAGGGGGGTGGAGGGGAAAATCGGATAGAGAAGGAATGCCCGGGAAGTCAAGATGTGCCTTAAGATGCGGAGGGGCAGGCAGATTTTAGGAAGGGCAAGACGTACAGCAAGTTGCAAAGACCTGCTCGTGGGGTGCAGTGGAGATGAAATTGAAAACGACAGCGCCAGTGTGGCTTAAGAGCATTCTCTGGGATTCCTTTTTATACCTCCTAGAAAGCTTCTCCTCTCCTTTTTCCACCTCAGGCCTGGTTTGCACCTGCATGAGAATGAGGGGGTCAGACCCTGAGACGATGGAGTGAAAAGTATCCTTTCAGAGTGTAGAAAGGCATGCTGTTTCTGAATGCTTTACCCCCATTTTTTTAAATGGCAAAAAAGTCCACCAAGGGAGAAAGTCCTAGCCTAGATTGCACTGCAGATTTCTGCCGGAAGGCATTCCCAAATGTGCTCACCCACCTGCAGTTTTAAATTGGATAGTCCATCCTACCATCTTAGGACAAAAACAGTTCATTCTGCTGTGTGCAGAGCAGACTTCTATCTTGGCCAATTACAGGCCAATAAGCCAAACAGAGCAGGCACCATAGGCAATGCTCCCACTAAGCGTGTGAGCAAAAATTCTACTTTGTGAGCTACTGGCATTAAAGTTGTGAGCCAGTGATTTGGCTACTTCATAAATTAGTTTGCTCTGGAGCCCTCCTTCCTGAGCAAAGACAGAAATGTGTGAGCTGGAGGCGAAAATACTGTGAGCTAGCTCACACTAACTCAGCTTAGAGGGAACACTGACCATCGGTTCTCCTAAATGCACCACTTGAGTTTCCTTAAGAGCCCTGCTGGAACAGACCAGTGGGCCCTCTAGTCCAGCATCCTTTCTCACACAGTGGCCAACCAGTTCCTCTGGAGGTCCAATAATAGGGCATAGAGGCCAAGGCCTTCCCCTGATGTTGCCTCTTGGCACTGGGACTCAGAGGTTGACTGCCTCTGGACATGGAGGTTCCCTTTAGTCATCATGGCTAGTAGCCACTGGTAGATCTATCCTCCATAACTTCCTTTGTGTGGTACTGCACTTATTATAGGTCCGCAGTCTGACCAACATGGTCAGACGTAAATGGCTGGAGTGAAAGGAATGTGGGGCCTCCAGCACCACCACAGAGATACCCCAGCACACACACCCTTTGGGGACGTTGTATTTATTTATTTATCATTAATTTAGACTTTTAGGCCACCCCTCCCTGTGGTCAGGGCTCTAGGCGGTTTACAACAAGATAAAAACTATTTAGATGAAGTTAAAACCGTAATAAAATACCATACGATCAATATATAAAAAACAGTCTGTTCCAAGATGGAAAAAACTTGGGCGGGCGGGGATTTGTAGCTTCCCCATAGCCTCCCAAGAGGGTAGGTGAGGGGAGGTGGGAGGTATGAGAGCGCCAGATTAGTCGATGTTCCATGGCTGTCCTTAACCAGAGGCGTGGTGGAACATCTCTGCCTTACAAGCCCTGCAAAAAGGTAGTAAATCCCACAGGGCATGGATATTCTCCAGCAGAGAGTCCCACCAGGTGGTTGACTACAGCTGGATCTCTCTCGGACTGGGGACCGCCAGGAGATTCTTACTGCCAGGTTATAACGCTCTGCTGGGGGCATACTGAGAGAGGCGGTTCCAAAGGTCTTCTCCAGGACTGAACAGAGGAGACTTGCTGTTAAAGGAAGAGAATGGGCAAGCAGCCTTGATGAGCTGAGGTAGAGACCCAGAGATTTCCCAAAGGAGTGCCATGTAGACAGGATTGGGCCTGTCAGGGGAAGGAAGTGGGTGGTCTTGAAAGTTTGACACGTACACCCCCCAAGGCGACTGTGAGGAGATGCCCACTTAGAGCTTCTCAGAAGAGTCAGGTGTGCAGGGGTAGGAGCACCTGAAGAGCTGCTCCTGGAACATGGTTATGTCTCCTGAGGTGGTGTCGGGCGTCCCTTCTGTCCATCACAGCATAGCTTAGATGGAGTGGCATCCATGGGTATGGGTATGGGGTAAGCATAGATTAGATGGAGTGGCATCCATGGGTATGGGTATGGGGTAAGCATAGCTTAGATGGAGTGGCATCCATGGGTATGGGTATGGGGTAAGCATAGCTTAGATGGAGTGGCATCCGTGGGTATGGGGTGCAGTGAAAGCTAGCCCAGGCTCAGTTGTACCATGAAACTCAGTTGTACCATGAATCATTAGGCTCAGTTGTACCATGAAACTGTGGCAGCAGATTCCATAATGGATACTAGTTCCTTGCTTTCCGATTCCCACCGCTTTGTGTCATTATTTGTTGTGTCCTGCCACTCTACTTTGCTTGAAGCCATCCTCCAACTTAAATAGCTCTTCTGTGGAAAGAACAACCACTTAGGTTGGAGGAAGGCTTCGGAATAGGTGGAGCAGAGTGGAAGGCAAGAAGAAGAAGAGGAGGAGATTGGATTTATACCCCGACCTTCACTAGGAGTCTCAGAGCGGCTTACAAACTCGTTCCCCTCCCCACAACAGACACCCTGTGAGGTAGGTGGGGCTGAGAGAGCTCTTGACAGAAACTGCTCTTTTTCAAGAACAGCTCTGACAGAACTATGGCTTGCCCAAGGTCATCCAGCAGCTGCATGTGGAGGAGTGGGGAATCAAACCCAGTTCTCCCAGATTAAAGTCCACGCACTTAACCACTACACCAGACAAGCCAGTAGAAATCTCTTCAGAACAGGCAGATAGCTAAAGGAGAGGGAGAGAGAGAAAGAGTATCAGTATGAATTTTTCACTTCACTTGTTATGACTGCACTGTCTACTTGCTATAAAAGGGGAATCTCTTTGTCTCACTTAGGTCACCGAGACCAGGACAGGACCGCTTGGATGTAGCAACTACGACAATCTGGATTCTGTGAGTTCCGTCCTTGTCCAGAGTCCCGAGAACAAAGTTCAGCTCCTTGGTAAGTTTAGGCTGTTGTCTCTTTTGCTGGCTCATGAGAGTATCCCTAGAAAGCATTTGATGCTGATTATCAGAGCACATCTTCTAAGTTTCGGGGGCTTCAGGGGACAAGGTAGGAGATGCAGTTGTAGTATATTGTTGGAGAGACGTTGATGTCATGGTAGGAGGTGCTTATTCCCCCCACCCCACCCCGAACTTCTGTCTCACATGCCTCCACTCCCTTCTTGGTAGCTGGACAGAACCACACCTCATAATGGGAGTCCCCTTCCATCATTGGCATATGATTGAAGTCAAGCCAGATCTCCCCCTAGAAGCCAAAATGACCAAACTGGGGCTATCATACTTTGGTGTCACATGGTGAACAGACAAGAATCACCAGAAAAGACAACAGTGCTAGGAAAAGTTGAAGGCAGTGGGAAAAGAGGAAGATCCAAGGTGAGATGGACTGACTCAGTCAAGGAAGCCCCACGGCCCTCAGTTTGCAAGACCTGAACAAGCCTGTTAATGGCAGGACGTTTTGGAGGTCATTCATTCATAGGGTCACTGTGAGTCGGAAGCGACTTGATAGCGCTTAACACACCCATCTGACTGAAGGCTTCAGGCTAGCTACTAAGCTTATCCCTTATACAGCCTTGCCCATTGATCAGACCCAAAGCCAACCCAGAGGATCCTTCTGTTGTAGCTCAGGTGACCAGGTCATGTGAGCCACCCGTAGGGCAGCTGACCACAACTGCATCACGTACGATGAAGAATGTCACTTGAACCTATGTTTTATTTCATGGTCAATGTATGCATTATTCAAGGATCTATTTGGATGGATGTGAGCTGACTGGTAATGTACGTCAATACCAGTGAGTGGCAGGACTGTTGTGGACTCCTGGACAAAGATTCCCTCTGGGCCCGCCCCTCACGCCATTTAGATCCAACCCAAGCATTATATGAAAACAAATCACAGGACTTTCTCTGCCCCACAGTCCCTGTGTGAGCAGGGGCCCCTGAACTTTCCCTCCTTAAGGTTCCCTCTCATTGTCCCTGGTGACTGTCTACCCTCACGCAAAGCTTGTGGAAACATGCATAAATGCAGAGCTTCTGTCAGGAATTTTGCACACCGCCACCTCAAGTGTGGATAATTACCAAGATGAGTTGCAGAATATGGGAGCAATCCTAAACTGGTTTTAGAAAGAAGTCTCATTTCATTTATGCTTTTAGGATTGCAGCCTACATCTCTTGCTTATTACACACTGGCTGGGTTTTATTTTATTTATTTATTTATAATTCGATTTATATCCTGCCTTCCCCTAAGGCTCAAGGCGACTTGTTTATGCTTGTTATTAATTTTATGCTGTTTTTAAAAATCTTTTCCGTGTGTTATTTAACTGTGTGGGCTCCCTCAAGCCAGTTTCTGGAGAGGTGGCATAGAATTTTTCTAACTAAATAATACATAATAATCAAAAGTGTGTTGTAAACGTCGCCCATTTAATCTGCATTTCCTCCAATCAAGTTCTATAGATAGCATCAGAAATAAACATATACAGGCAAGGGAACATACGTTAACCCACATATGTGAACACTACCAGGTTGTACATGTTGTCCGGTGTTACTTTGAGACTGGGTAGTGTGCAAAATTCCCTCTTAATTCCATCACATATGAACTTATCTTACAGTGCGTCATACTTCTTGTCCACCTAGCCCAGTACTGACTCATCAGATGGGAAGTTGGTCTAGTATTCCTTTCTCAGCCCTGAAGACCGAATCTGGGACCTTGTGCACACAATACCGTGTGCTCTGCCACTGGGTTATGAGTCCTTGCTGTGTGTTTATTTTCCTGTCTTCTTGTGAAAAGAGCACAACTGAAAAGGGACATTCTGTAGTCAACTTACATTAAACATAACGAGCGTGCTGTCTTCGGGTGGGTATGTTAGTCTTCATGAAGTGAGCTCTGACTCACAAAAGCTGCGACTCAGTAGAGGAGCCTCTGCTTTGCATGCAGAAGGTTCCAGGTTCAATCCCCAACATCTCCAGTTGAAAGTACTCAGTAGTAGGTGATGTGAAAGACCTCATCTTGAGACCCTGGAGAGCCACTGCCAGCCTCAGTAGACAATACTGTTCAGTTCAGTTCAGTTGACCTTTATTGGCATAAAATACCTTAAAAAGGATTACTATAAGAAGAAATATACATTGAAAACCAAGTATAACCGGACATATAAAACATAATGTAGCATAAAACAATTACTCATTGGAAGTTTTTCTGATGTGGCTTTATCGCTGATTGTAAAAACATGGCTACGTTCGTTGAGATTTCCGGAACAGAGTCATTTAGAAGATGGTGCACTTTTAAAGCATCAGGAAAGTTCATCGTGTTGGCTAAGAGAGGGTTTAAATATCTAGCACGTAAAACCACATAAAATTGACAATGCAAACAAATATGCGAAAGAGTTTCAATATATCCAGAATTGCAATGGCAAAGTCTATCCGGATATACTATCTCCCATATAAGATTGCTGATGGTCACCTCTCGGCCTTTTGGTTAAGATCAAGTGTAGCACTTCTCGGCCTTTTGGCTAAGATAAAGCGTAGTGCAGTACTGGCTTTGATGGACTGATTCAGTATAAGGCAGCTTCCTTTTTAAGGTATTTTATCCCAATAAAGGTCAACTGAACTATAAGGCAGCTTCCTTTGAGTTCACGTATACTCTGGAAAATTTTGTTTGTTTGTATGAAATGCTACTGCACTTGAATTATGCATGCTGTCTGTCTGTATCGATGGAGTTGGATTAGTTTACAGTATCTCCAAAGACTTGGCTCCCCAAAGGAACCATTACTGCAAAGAGATGATAGTCCAGGAAAAATTTGTTATGGGAGTTCTGCCGGTACCCATTATTCCAATTACAGGGGCCGCTGACCCTGGGGGCCTAATATTTTGTTATTTTATTTTGTAACATTTGCTTAATTTTGTTTTTATTACACTTGTCAACAGCAAGGTTCTTAACCGCCCACACCATCAAAGCACAATCAATAAAACCAATAGAACCAATGATAAAGAACACAAAGGCAATAAAATAGCAATTAAATGACTGTAAAGTTTCAAAAATAGCAGCTGGTGAAAACAATTCTAAATTAGGGCTATACAGCAGTACTAGAATTCAGCAGTAACACCATAACCCAGTAAGTATGGGTAAAACCAATGTAGGGGCAAGAATCAAAACCCAAAGCCATCGTACCCATGATAAAACTAACCATTCAAAGCTGGAGATTTTGAAAATTAAGTGTTTATGTACTACCCCTATGCTGATGTTAGGCTGCAACTCCCTTCCCTCATCATGTGTTCTGTTTTTGCCATATTGAGCAACATTTCCATTGCAAGAGAAGACTGAGGAAAAGTAGGAACTGAGCAGTTCTGGCCTCTCTTCATCACCTGTTACAATTTCAGTTTCCTGTCCCTGCAATGGGCCTACCATGCCCTTGCTCTTTGAGCATAAAACGACCCTTTTGTCTTGTTTTTAGCATCTCCAGCTAGCCTAAGCTCATACTCAACTTTAGCTTTCCTAACTCTCTCTCCACAAGAACTGGTTATTTGTTTATATTCATCCTTGGTTATAAGACCCTCCTTCCACTTTCTGAATGAGTCTTTTTTTATTTCTCAAGTCTTTAGAAAGCTGTTTATGGAGCCACCTTGGCTTCTTTAGGCTCCTCCCATTTTTCCTTCTCATAGGAATTCTTTGTGATTGTACATTCAGTATTTCACTTTTAAGAAACTCCCAATAGCTAGCAATCCAGAACAGTCCAGTGGAGCCTGAGCGGTGGGTGTTGCCTTCTGACACACTTCCGGTGATGTCAGGGGGTGTGGCATATGCAAATGTAATGCTAATGAGTTATGCTAATGAGCTCCTGCACCTCTTTTTCTACGAAATGACCCCTGGTCACAACCATCTTATGCCAAGCCCTCATGGGGTTTTCAGGGCAAGAGATGAGCAGAGGTGGTTTGCTATTGCCTTCCTCTGCATAGCAATCCCGGTCTTCCTTGGTGGTCTCCCAATTATCATGGCCAACCCTGTTTACCTTCCAGCCCCTCACAGGCTCAGGTTAGTCTGGGCTATTCAGGTTGCTACAAGAATGTTTTGACCTGGTGGTTAAAGCTAAAGAATGAAGATGGCAGGTGGATTGTAGGATAAAGGGGCTGTGTAGCACTGATGCTGGTTAGGATACCCAGTCCCGATCCATTTAGGCATTCCAAGGTAAATGCCAGCTCTTGGAATTGTGTTTGGAGACGTCTCAGCCGCCAGTGTGGCTCCCTCAAAGCCCGCAAGACGTGTTCTTGTGCAGGTGAGAGAGCAGCTGGATTCTAAACTGACTGAAGTTTCTGAACCCTCTTCAAAGGCAACCCCACGTACAGCGGTAATTGAGTCTCGCTGTGATCAGAGCGTGGATAATTGTGACCGGCGATGTCGTCCCCCTTTTTTGTACAGGCCTGCAGGCGCTGTTGCCGGAGTACCTGCGGGAACGCTTTGTGGCTGCTGCCCTCAGCTACATCACCTGCAATTCAGAGGGGGAGCTGATCTGCCGAGAGAATGACTGCTGGTGCCAGTGTGGGCTTAGTTTCCCACAATGCAACTGCCCCGAGGGTGACATCCATGCTATGGAAGAGAGTCTCCTCCAGATCCGGGACGCTTGGGACAGCCACTACCAACAGTTTGAGGAATCGGGTGAGTTTTGGAAATGTGCATTGTCACACACACACACACACACACACACACACACACACACACACACAGAGCCACTCTGCCCCCACCGTTACGCTTTCTTCATGCAGGTTTAGGTACACCACCAGGTGAGAGCAGTCACACTCTGCCACCCACCTGGTCTCCCTTTAATAGGTAAGAGAGCCCTGATCCCTTTCCAGACATTGGGTCCCCTCTCTTCTCTTTCCCAGAGACGTCTCCAGACAGAGCTGCCCAGTTCCCTTTATTCTCCACCTTTCCCCCCAGCTACCACACGGGGCTGTTGGAGCCAGGGAACCCGATACTCCCCCCCCCTTTGC